GTATATAATTTTTCTAAGAAAATTAAGTAACTAGGTTGATATTAATTTAGTTACTATTTTTGGAGCTGCAGTTTCTGCATCAATTACATTTCTTTTTTATTTGTTAAAGAAAGTAAAGAGACTGGGCATGATGGAACATGCCTGTAATCCCAGCTCTTGAGAGGCTGTAAACAGGTGGATCACTATGAGTCCGATCTAGTAGTGAGACCCAGAAAACCCTGTAGACACTTCCCTAAAATACAAAAAGAAAAAAAAATGAAATTTGCTTAAGAGAAGCCAAAAAGGAGAAAGTTATAAATGAGTCAAAAAGTTTGGAGCCTCACAGATGTTTGTAGATATATGCAAATATGTTTGTTGTTTTCTTAGATCCTGTATATACATTCCTAAGACCACTATAACGGACTTAGCAGGTAATATGTTTTTAAATTCAAGTCCCAAATGGGACAAAGAGGATGGAGCAAAGGTACAGCAGATAGAGTTTAAAGCATCTAGCTTTGCTCAATTAGATTTTTTTAAAAAAGGAAAAAAGTTCTTATAAGTTGCAAGCACTTGGTTCCAAGTGATGCATTGCCATCATGGGTACAGGCACCATCTGGGTTGAGGGAAGACCCCATGCTTCAGTCCTAGGCCAACCCAGCTGGAACCTCCCACCTGCTTGCATGACCACGTGCCCAGTCCTGCTGCAAAGGGTAGTGCATGCCATCTACAGTTCTGTTCACCGGGTGCTAATTAGGAGGGTCAGGACTAGGTCACTCCATGACCTCAGCCATGGCCACACGGCTGTAGCCCCCTTGACTCCTGGTGAATGAAATGTGGGCAAGGGAATCCATTCCCTGTGCTAAGACATTTGAGGCACTGCTAGCAGCTCACCCAGCCCCGAGGCTATGGAGGAAAAGCAGAAACCAGAGGCAGAGCCTCAATGCAGTGAAGTCTCTAGGTTTTGCTTGGTGTCATTAATGCTAATTATACAAAGAAAAATCAAACGTATATTTCAGTCAAAATGCTGTTTAATGTCAGTCCCACCCCCAAGGCCCACTGATATGTGATTGAGACTGGGCGTGGTGGCGCACCTGTAATCCCAGCACTTGGGAGTCTGAAAACAGGAGAATCACTACAAGTTTGATCTATGTAGTGAGACCCTGGAGACCCTGTCTTAAATACATTTTTAAAACTACTATTTAAATCACTCTAGACTCTCACATTATTCAATTAATCATTTCTTTGACAAAAAATTAAAAATTAATAAATATTTTAAAAAGTACAAAGCAGTACTAAAACAAAAATTATAAGTGATACAGAATTTCACTTAACAAAATAATATGAATTTCACAGTATTTGTTCCAATGCATAGTGTTGTCCTCCAACTAGTTGCTCATATTACCAGATATATGCATGCAAAATTGGAAGAAGAAAGATTTTTTGTCAGTGTCAGCCATGTGGATGAGTCACAGCCATTGCTTAACCAATTTGCTCCCTGTGAAAGCCTGAGAGAATGTTTCCTCTCCAGGTGACTCTCCTTAGGCACACTCTACATTGTCAATCACTTTCTTCTGTGGCCCCATAATCTCCTTGATCAGAAAATTTGGGATACCACTGAGTTAAAGGGTATTACAGTACACATTCCCTCATGTCCTGAGTCCTCACTAACTTTGAAGGGCTAGGGCCAAAATGTTGGCTATCCTTGTAGCCCTTCTTTTTCTCTAATTTTTTGGTCTGCAAACTTCAGTTTTAACCTTCCAGAAGAGAAGCTTAATTATATAATTACCCTAAAACATAGGTTTTTGAGCTTAACATCACTGTCTGAATGTCATCTGCCTTAGACATAACATGGCTGACACTGACAAAAGATCTACAAACTGCTGTACAGGGTTTCAGGGTAAATCCTGAAGGCATTTGACTGACCTTGTCAGATACAAAAGTTACATTTTTTTATTCTATCGGTCTTGCTTTATCTTGGTATTAACCATCCAGCAAAAAAGTATAAAAATGAGGTATAAAAAGTAAAGCCATATTAATATGCTGAGCTGTAACAGGCTCAAATCAACAACTTCTGACATTGTCAGTCATTTGGATAACCCACTACTATTATAGACTACTGGACTATATTGGATTACTGTGCTGAATTCATGTACCTACAATATATGAATGGTGATGGAATACCCATCTCTGACAAAAGTAAACAAAAAAGGGGGCTATAAATGAAGGACCATTTTGTAGTGAAAAAAAAACATATATCTATATGTACAAAATAGGATAGATATACAGCTACTTTCTCTTAGTTGAATGAAAAGAAAGTTTGGAACTAATAGTGTTTAGACAAGATATCATGTCTGCATGTTATACTATAAATTACTACAAAAACAATATCCAATATATTAATTATTGTAACTGTCTTTCTATCCTGTTTTGAAAAAAAAGAAAGAAATATGTAAGAAATTAAGAAGAGAAAAAAGACAATGAAATGAAAAATTGAGACAAAACAAATTAAGAATTAACTTCTCCTTTCCATAGACCACCAGAAATGTATAACATAGCTGTCCAATTCACCCTGCTTACATACATATATATATCTCTTTCCCTCACCACCTCTCCTGTCCTCCTCAACTCAGTAATTCCTTCATTCAGTTAATATTTGATAACACTAATTTATAGTCTTTGGGATGGAAAATTTTACTTGTGTGCACCCATGCAGTTCTCTTCAGAGTAGTTGGCATCCTGGACTAAGGATTAAATGCCTGTACCACACTTCATATATCATAATTGCCACGAAGTGTCCATTTATATTTCCACATACCCCAAGGAACCACTCTTTCCTCTGATTGAAAATGAAATGATAATGTAAAAACACTAAAAAACATACTAGGCATGGTTCTTTAGATAGATTCATTTTATACATTTCCACTTTTAAAGTGATATATATTTTAACAATCTCAGATATTTTATTGATGTATTTTTCCATTTTACTGAGGTATAACCAACATACAATATTCCTCCTACTAAGTGTAAACAGCACAATTTGATGAGTTTTTTTCCATATATACATATATGTATATGTTGACAGGTAGCTAGATAAATATTCATATTCATCACACAGATTAAGACTTTGAACATTTGTAGCCTCTTAGACATCTCCATTATACCCTTTCCTAATTAGCCTTGTCTCAGAGGTAATCAGTAATGTGAATTGCTATCCAGTGTAGATTGGTTTTGCCTGTTTTTAATCTCATAGCAGAGGAATCATATATGCCCTATTATGTAGAATCCTTCTTCTAACATAATATTTTTCAAATTCATACATGTTGGTGCATGTTTCCATTTTAGTGAGGTATAACCAACATACAATATTCCTCCTACTAAGTGTAAACAGTACAATTTGATGAGGTTTTTTTCCATATATACATATATGTATATGTTGACAGGTAGCTAGATAGATATTCATATGCACCAACATGTTTCAGTAAATTTTGTATTTTTATGCCAGAAAGACAGTTGTGTTGCTACTTTGTTTCTCTTATGATTTAAACTTGTATAAGCATTCTTGTACATGACTTTTGTTATATATTTTTTCTTGGTCATATAGCTAAGAAAGAAATTAATGGGTCAATGTGCAGACACATTTAGCTTAAGTATATATTGCCAAAATTTTCTAAATTGGTTCTGTAAGTACATGCACCTACAAAAAACTTATGTCCATCAAAGTATAACATAAAGATCTGAAATGGAAATCCACAATCTAGTAAAAAAAAACAATAAAAAACAGGATCAACTATATATAAAGAATTTCTACAAATCAATAGAGAAAAAATAACCATCCGAATTCTTTTTCAATGCACAAAAGACTTAAGTAGGTAATTCACAAGAGGATATAAAAATGTCACTGAAGTCATAAAAAGATGTCAAATATGATTATACTATTGCACACCAAGTAGAATCAATATCTAAAAGATAGGATATACTTAGGTTTCCAAATGGAAATTTTAATTACTTTTCATTACCGAGCACTTCTTATGAAGTATATATTAGTTCTTGTATTTTACAGATGAAGAAACTTAGAGTAAGGGTGTCAGACTTTCAAAAGCAATTACCTTTTAAGTGACATCAGTAAGAATTAAGCCCATAAGTCCTGAATAGAGACCTGTCAGTTTTTTCTCCAGTCTATCTTTTGGCCCAAAGTGAAGAAAGTTGTACTACTTTGAGAAACTGTTGGCATATCTTTTTTAAGACAAAGTGTAGCACTAAAATGGTAACAGTTGCCATATCAGTCTAAAAATTTCTTTTTATTTTATTTAATTTTTAATTAAGTGTATTAAAAAAGAAATAGCAATGAGACAGTTTCTCAAATATATTGTGAAAATATCCAAATTTCTACTCATTTTCAACATCTGAATAGCAAATATCATAAGGAGTCTTATACAACTTCTCAAAAAGTGTCATCAATGTCACCTGTAGAAAACACTGCAACTTAATAAGCATGGTCAGCCATTGACAAGATCCTGGTAGCAGCACGCCATACCTCTGTCTGCAACATTCATTATGGATTAACGCAATGGAAAGAGAATGTGCCTTGGTGTCAGGTGAATTGAATTTAGAGATAAGCTTTGCTGCTTATTAGTTGAGGGAGTACAACTTTGGATAAGCCACATTTTCTGATTTGTGTTTTATACTTAAAATAACACGATATATCAAAAAACTCCATGTATCTTATAAAAAAATGACTACTAAGGGGCTGGGGAGATAGCTCAATAGAATACATGTTTACCAGGCAAGCGCAGGGTCCTGAGTTCAATCCCCGGTACCACAAAAAAAAAAAAGAAAGAAAGAAATGAATACTGAGAAGAATCTAGAGAACATAATTGAGATAATTAGCCTGAGAAAGTTATAAGATAAATTGGTACCTGGGCTTCAAGGTTTGTAAAAAAATTTTCATTTAAGTAATTAATGTTTTCAATCCTTTCTGTGAGCCTTGGAAAATAAAGTGCTGTCTATCACTACTCTTCCAGTTCCACTTGTCCTATACAGACAAGGAGCGCTATGAAAATGAAGAGAGACCTGAGATCCAGAAGCAGATGCTCATTGATATGGCCAAGAAGCTACCAGTTTACACAAGAACCGGGAGCGGAGGTCAGTTCATCCAAAATCAGCTTGGGAGTTTAGCAAGGAACTCAGAAAGAGTAAGTCATACATATTGCCAGGATATCCTCCATTTTCTCTCATGTTTTGAAAACCACTATGAAATTTTCTCAACACTTTATTATAAAATATTAAAAGAATAAAATAGTTAAAAACCCATTAGGAACAATACAGAATTTCATTAAACAAAATGATAGAAATTCAACAATGGTTGTTATATTGCATATTGCTGCCTTTTTTTTTTTTCTTTGCGGAACTGGGGATTGAACTCAGGCCCTTGCACTTGCCAGGAAAGCGCTTATTCTACTGAGCCATCTCCCTGGCCCTATATTGCAT